TTTTTTTTTTTTTTTGATTTTCACACATAAGAAAAAAAAGATCAAATTGTCACCATCGCTCCACACAACACCACTCATGTAAATTTATAGCTTACTTAAAATTGAAGAAGGCCAACTATTCGAATGAACCAATCTTCTTTTAAAGTTTTTACTCTTTTTTAGAATGTTTTTTGGTCTTGTATTACCATATAATGACAAAGATTCCATTTTATGTGTAATTTTATCTTTTGCAAGCACATCTTTCTTCATTGATTTAATTTCAGGTGATAACTTATCTAGGTGAGAGGCCTCATCATCAGTATCACTAATGACCGGACTGGCCTTCTCTTTATTCAATGTTTTCTGACTACTCTTTTTTTGAATTTTGATTGGAGAATGTTGTATATCATCATCATCACTCCAACCATCATATAAAAATTCACTTAAAAGTTCTTGATATTGGTGAGACTTATACCAGTTATCTAAAATCACCATAATTCTTTTATCAGCACGACTTTTTGCCTCTTCCAGATCTTTTAAAAGTTTTCGTTTAACTTTTGGAAAAGTAAACTCTGGAGAACCATCATCAATAATATGCAAATTACTAAGACGATTTTGTTCAGCATCAATTGATAAATCAGGGAAAAATCTATATTTTTGAAATGAAGGTTTTCGTTTTATAGAGGAAGAAAGAACATGTTCATCATTGGTGACATAGGCATCAGAATCAGTTTCCAAAGAGTCAGTCTCAGAGTCAGAATATAAGGAAGGGGTATTTGAAGGATAACTTTCCGACTTTAAACTTAATAATCGTTTAAGTTGAGAGCTAGCACCACTCTGACGACTTTGGATCGGTTGATGAGGCAATTTTTGTTGAGATGATGTAGAAGACACAGCAGTACCTGATTGTGTTGAAGGAACATTTAACAAATTTTGTTGTTGCAATGATATTGACGGTCTTTGCTGTTGTTGCTGTTGTGGATGAGATAGTACAAATAAAGAGTGATGTCTTTCTCTTTGATAAAAAGGAAAAGAAGTCAAATATGGAGAATTAGAGGAACTACTACTGGAATTTGAACCAGAGTTAGTTCCGGTAGGGAGAATGCCAGAAGTCGAAAAATCGAAGTCTTCAAAAGACGACCTGTTATTTGCATCTCCCTCAATAGTCGAGAGTAAATTTGAAGGATAAAGATTCGATAAAGCCCGTGGTTTTGATAAGCTTTTCTTAAGTAAACTTTGACTCGAAGAAGTTGAAAGACTTCGACGATTTCTCGGTTTTATAAGTTTACCTTCTATACCAGTTGCTTGCTGTGCGGCAGGAACCGTCAAAGAGGAAGTTGGAATTTGAAATGTTACAGGAGTTGTAGGTAGAGAGGCTGGTAGACTTTTTGGAGAAGTATGTTCGCCAGGCAGAGAACGCGAAATAAACGGTCTCCGAGATTCGTGCATATTATTCAATTTACTGAAGTACACAGTATCTCCTGGACTCCTGATGCACTATTTTACGATT